AAAGGAAATCAGTCCTGAATATTCATTGGAGGGACTGATGCTGAAACTGAAGCTCCAATACTTTGGCCACCTGATGCAAAGAAATGACTCATTGGAAAAGACCCTGAGCTGGAAAAGACTGAAGGCAGGAGAAGGGAACGACAGAGCAACAGAGGGTGATGGACTTGATGGACATGAGTTTGAGCAAGCTCCAGGAGTTGTGATGGACAGCGAAGCCTGGCGTGCGGCAGTCCATGGGGTCTCAAAGAGTCAGTCAAGACTGAGCGACTGAACTGAACTGAACTGAAAGGCTGAGAGGATGGCTAGCTTTTTTTTTTTTTTATCACTAATGTATTTCTTAATTGGGCTTCCCAGGTGACTCAGTGGTAAAGAATCCACTTGCAACGCAGGAGACATGGAGTAGACATCTTGGTCAGGAAGATCCCCTGGACAAGGAAATGGCAACCACTCTAGTATTCCTGCCTGGGAAATCCCAAGGACGAAGAAGCCTGGTGGGCTACAGTCCATGGGGTTGCCAAAGAGTCAGACACAACTTAGTAACTAAATAACAACAAACATTTCTTAACTAGGTATGTACATTATTTTAGACAAAATACTATTATACACTTAATAGAGTAGAGTGTAGTGTAGACATATCTTTTATATGCACTGGAAACCAAAAAAAATTTTTTTCTGTGACTCGCTTTATTGTGATATTTACCTCATCGTAGCGGTCTGGAACCAACCCTGCAATATCTCCAAGGGCTGCCTGTAACCACTAACTAACACTTGTGTGGTACTTTAATAAGTACTTCACAGGAATTGTGATCTTTACAAGAAACTTGTTAAGTACAAATTGTTTATTTTTATTTTACATCTGAGGATAATGAAAGTCAATAAAAATGACTGTTAACAGGATTGCTCAGCAAGTCTGAGGAAAAGCCAGTATTTGGTCCAAGAATTCCATCTCTGAAGTTTTCCCCTTTCATCAAACCAAGATAGAAATGCCAAGTTCTTCTATAATAACATATGCTTTGAAAGTCAGATGGTCTGAGTAACACTCTGGGTTGAACTATACCCAGTTAGTGACTGGCCAAAGCTCTGAGCTTCCACTGACCAATGGTCTTCCATTCTCATCTATCTTCCATCCTGGTCTTAACTTGCCTTAGAGACTTTTATTTGCCACTTGATGAGCAAATGTCCTCTTTGTATAGTGAGGGTATACAAGGGACTGGATGTTTATTCATGTTTGCAGTCTCTGTAGTAGCTCACCCCTAAACAGTCCTAAACTAATAACTATTTAAAGGAACTGTGCCATTAATTCATGGGGAAGAAAATTCTTGAACACTCACTTTGTGACTTGTTTAGTGCTAGATCAGTAAGCAGGACAGAGAGAGCAGCCCTCACCACTGTGGAGTTCATGAACAGATGTTGGACAACGAACAATAACAGTAATGAGAATTCAGGCAAGAGTTGTCTGCTGTGAAAGGGAAAACACAAGGGGCTAATGTAGAGTGAGGCAACAGGGGAAAAAAAGAAAGTGAAAGTCGCTCAGTCCTGTCCAACTCTTTGCGACGCCATGGAATATACAGTCCATGGAATTCTCCAGGCCAGAACACTGGAGTGGGTAGCCTTTCCCTACTCCAGGGGATCTTCCCAACCCAGGGATCGAATCCAGGTCTCCCGCATTGCAGGTGGATTCTTTACCAGCTGAGCCACAGGGGAAGCCCAATGCAACAGAGAGCCTCTCCCTAAAGAACAGACGTTTAATCTGCCACTTAAGGTTGAAGAGGAGGGAGACAGATGAAAAGGAATATGCAAGCTAGGCAGAGGAAACCAGCCCTGGTACTATGATGGGCAAGAGCATCCCCTAAAGCACCTCTTAAATCCTGCATCCTACCGAACCATTTTGCCTCAGGACCAAATCTAACAATGATGTTGGGATTTTCAGGGTACAGCAGGTATCATAAGAGATTCAAATAATTTATTGGTGTAGATAAACCATGCACTCTTTTGGATCTCTAAAAAATACTTTAATAAACATATTCAGCCTTGCTCTAAAAGTAAGGGATAAGTTTGTGGTTCTCTCTCTTTTATCTGAAATGAAACATTTTATTTCATATGTAGAGATTCAATATTATAATTGGTCTCTAGCGTGGTTCAGAAACTGGATTCTTGTGAAACCAGTAGGAAAACATTGTAAAGATTTACTTAGTCACAGCTGTTCTTTACAAGTAGTTTCTGATTTTATAGTTGGTTGTAACTGTACTTCCAGCTGTAAATTAAGTCTTTATTGAGTGGGATTTGGGGGTTACACAAGATGTTATAAGGTTATGTGCGCTAGCCCATAATTTAAAAGTAATATAAATTACATTGCTTTATGGCAAACACTATACACATAATTAAAATGAGATGTTCTCACAGCCTATAGCTTTACAATTTTAAAGCTTGCCATAAAACTTATACACATCTATAAACTGCCAGAAAGACACATGTTTTCATTTTATGTAGATGGCTACTAACAAATGCTAAGGAATCTTATGGGAAATTGTTATGGACTGAATCGTGTTTCCTCAAAAAATCAAATTGAAGCCTTAACCCTAGTACTTCAAAACAGTACTAAATTTGGATATAGGCTCTTTAAAAATGTAATGAAGATTAAATGAGGCCCTAAGGATGGGGTCCTAATCCAACATGACTTGTGTCCCTAAAAGAAGAGAAACACACACACATACACACACACCAGGGATACACACACAGAGAGAAAAAGGCCATGTGAGGGCAGAGAGAGAAGGGGACCATCTTCAACTAAGGGGAAAGGTCTAGGGTGAAACCAAACCTGCTAACAGCTTGATCTTGGACTCCCAGTCTTCAGAGCCACGAGATACCAATTTCTACGTTTAAGCCACCCAGTCTATAGATTTTGTTATAGCAGGCTCAGAAAGCTGATACAGTAGCAGACTAACACATATATATTTTGCAGCCATAAATATACATGTACAAGAATATGCATATGCACTTAGATTGGCTATGTGCAGTAATTATCCAAAGTCCCATTTGAAAACAGTGGGGAGATTTTTATTATGTCTTCGCATGTCAAACTTTTTGTTAGATTAAAAATGAGTATGCATAATTTATATTTATGCAGCCAGACTGTATCTGGATGTTAATTAGGAAAAATAGAATTGTTTCTATGAAGTGGGGTCAATGTATGGGTACCCTCAAAGGAAAAAAAAAATGTCTTGGACCTATTTACAAGTTGATTATTCCGGCTTTTAGAGAGAATTTAAGAGGCTGGGCTTAATCTACCTATAATTGCCAAAGAAGAATATTAAACTTGGACTCACTCTTTCAAATTAAACTTTTTACATGTAGCTGTTATATTCCTGTCACTTATTAAGTCACCTTAAGAAGCTTTTTGTGAGTTTAATTAAGCCTGACTCATTCTCCAACAGTATCAAGAAAGAGGAATTCCTTAAATATTTAATCCCTTTATGACTCAAAGTGTCATTTTCTGAATGTGACTGCTAAATTCTTGGAATTAATTACCCTTTGAATTAAAGTTGCTTTTTCAGACTCTCAAGACATACAGTCACAGCTCACACAATGTGTAAATTCAACATTTCATCTGTTCATCAAGAGAATTTATTCCAAAGGTTGTATTCAAAAATCTCAACCTAGTAGGTTTATTAATGACCGCTAACCAAGGGATCTTTGCCTATAAGCTCAATTATATAATCATCAAGCATGATTGCTGGTTTTTCCGCTGCCTCCCACTTTGTTCAAGTATTAATGAGTTAAAGGTTAGCTGTCCTCTATCTGCACAATCACTAATCTTTGTCATGGCAACTTTGCTCTCCTTAACTAATCTCAAGCCTCCTCTCCAGAAAGCTTTTCCCCATTCTGCTCAGCAGGCAGCACGATCATAGGTCTGTCCCTCTTTGTGCATGCTGTGCAAAGTCGCTCAGTCGTGTCCGACTCTTTGTGACCCTGTGGACTGTAGCCTGCCAGGCTCCTCTGTCCATGGGATTCTCTAGGCAAGATACTGGAGTGGGTTGCCATTTCCTCCTTCAGGGGATCTTCCCGACCCAGGGATCAAACCTGTGTCTCTTACATCTCCTGTATTGGCAGGCGGGTTCTTTACCACTAGCGCCACCTGGGAAGCCTTATATTATCCTAACACACTGGATGCGCCCATTCCTTTATTTACACATTTCCTCTTTGTTCTCTCCCAGTATTCTGAAGGCTATTCAAGACTAAAAGTGCTCTTCAAAAGCAGATTCCAAAGAACAAGGAGATCAATGAGGCAACCATATTTATGGAGCACCTAATACCCCCAGAACAAGACACTGGATTCCTGTACAAGAAACCTGGAAGACTGGATACACGAGGATACAGAAAGCCATACATACACATAGAGACACAAGTACAAGTCCCAGCTACCTCGTGATGGTTTGCGCTTAGAAGTCACTGCATTGTCCCCAGCACCACGCTAGACACTGAGATAATGGGAGCAGCTGGCTAATTCAACTTCTACAGAAGAAAGCTGCCTGTCAACTGAAATTCAAATTTCCTAAGGAATACGAAGGGATTGAAAGATTATAAATTAGCTCTTTAGCTTTTACATAGACAAGTCTCAACGAAGTGAAAGTTTCTTCCCAGGTATCATGATCTAGCATTAGCAATATAAAACAGTAACTGAAAAATATTTCTAGAACAACTCATTAAGCAGTTTTCCTTTCCTTCCACCACCACCTCCCACACATCTTTGATTTTAAACATCATTATTTACATTAAAAATATGAAACACAAAATGGCATGCTCAAATTTCTTATTTTTTTTAATAACATGTGTTATAAAATACTTTCATTGCGAAGAAAAATAAAAATAGGAAAAAAATTAATTAGAAGAGAAATCACTCCACTCCCACAGTTACCAGAATGGAAACAGCCAGCAGTGGGTGATGGACAAGGACATCGTGGCAGGTGGGAAGGTGGGTGCCCTGGGTCCAAGGTACCTACCCCCTTTCATCATGCCCACTTCATAGCACTTGCGTAGCCGGCAGGCCTGACAGCTCTTCCTCCTGTTTTTATCAATTGTGCACTGGTTGGTGGCTGGACACATGTAGTCATTATGTCCTATGAAAAGCAAGAGGACAGAATTAGTATTATTTCAGGAAATTTAGCTGGTCTGAATCTATAGGGAATATACAGGGAAGCTGTCTAGAGGAGGTTTTCCATCATTACTTACTTGATTTTCCCATGTTGCTACCCTCAACCCACTGCTTTTTGAAGGGTTAAAAAAAAAAAAAAAAAAAAACCTCTCCTAGACTGAATTTCTGCCTCTCCCACTTGCTTTGAGAGTCCTTTGTGAAAATTCACTTTGGTTCACATAGCCTATATTTGGGGGCATAATGTTTTATATATATTCACAAAGTTAAGCTTTCTTAGTAGATAAAGTTTTGTTTGGTTGGTTTTTTTGACTCAGGCCACCCATCAAAATTGTTGTCCCAATAAAGTCGTTAGAACTATCAGAGAGTTTCGAAACGCTCTTTCTTAAAATATAATTTAAAGATTCTTTAAGCAGCTCTACCTCAGATATGCAGATAACACCACCCTTATGACAGAAAGTGAAGAACTAAAGAGCCTCTTGAAGAAAGTGAAAGAGGAGAGTGGAAAAGTTGACTTAAAGCTCAACATTCAGAAAACCAAGATCATGGCATCTGGTCCCATCACTTCATGGCAAATAGATGGGGAAACAGTGGAAACAGTGGCTGACTTTATTTTTCTGGGCTCCAAAATCACTGCAGATGGCAATTGCAGCCATGAAATTAAAAGACGCTTACTCCTTGGAAAGAAAGTTATGACCAACCTAGACGCATATTAAAAAGCAGAGACATTACTTGGCCAACAAAGGTCAGTCTCATCAAGGCTATGGTTTTTCCAGTGGTCGTGTATGGATGTGAGAGTTGGACTGTAAAGAAAGCTGAGCGCAGAAGAATTGATGCTTTTGAACTGTGGTGTTGGAGAAGACTCTTGAGAGTCCCTTGGACTGCAAGGAGATCCATCCAGTCCATCTTAAAGGAGATCAGTCCTGGGTGTTCATTGGTAGGACTGATGTTGAAGGTGAAACTCCAATACTTTGGCCACCTGATGCAAAGAGCTGACTCATTTGAAAAGACCCTGATGCTGGGAAAGATTGAGGGCAGGAGGAGAAGGGGACAACAGAGGATGAGATGGTTGGATGGCATCACCAACTCAATGGACATGGGTTTGGGTGGACTCTGGGAGTTGGTGATGGACAGGAAGGCCTGGTGTGCTGCAGTTCACGGGGTCACAAAGAGTCGGACACGACTAAGCGACTGAACTGAACTGAACTGAACTGAACTAAGCAGCTCTCCAAATGCAGCACAGAACACCTAAATTTAAGTCAGGGATGGTAGACTGGGGCAGTGGCCAAGTTCATCCTTTAAATTAATAAATTTGTCCATCACTTACTAACTGAAGGACACTGAACAGGTTAGTTAATATCCCTAAATCACACTTCCCCAATCTAACCTACAAAACACAATGGCACCCACTATGTAACATAATATACATTATAATGTAAGACATATATTATGAGAACACATGTCCCAGTTAATTTTTAGCCCGGTGCCCTGGGTCTGGCAAACACTGAATGAATATTTAGTTGTTGTTGCTGCTGTTATTCCACTCTAAATCCTCTTTCTTTTCTCTCTTGTTTACTGAATCTCTCTCACTCAAAGGCTTCTTTCTCATTGGTTTTTATCACATCAGGCAGGTTTGTCCCACAAAAATGTTCCCCCTGAACCCACAACACTCCCCAACTTCTATCCTGCCCCTCCTTCTCAGCTCAGCTCCTCACAGATGTCTACACCAGAGGTCTTCTTCCTCCTTTTTCTCCTGCCTGCCTCAATCACATCAATCTGCTTTCCACTTTTGTTGCTCCACAAACATAGCTTCCTAGAAACCATCCATGACTTCAGTGGCTGAGTTCAACAGCCACTTTCAACCCACTTCATGCCTGACCCATCAGAAGCATCTGACAGTTCCTCCTTCCTCTTGAAACATGCTTTCCCCTCAGCTTTTGTAACACAAAATGCTCCCAGCGCTCTCTTTACCTCCCAGGCTGGGGCTTCCCAGAGTTTGTAGATTTGCCTCCCTCCATCCAGCAATAATCCAGAGATGCCTGGGGCTCAACATCCAGCCCTTTTCTCTTCCTGTGACCCTGAAGTCTCCCACCAGAAAATTCAGCCCCACATCTATGGCTTTCATCGCCACTAAATGCAGATGACACAGACTTAAACTGCCAGCCCAGTTCTCTTCTCTGAGTTTTGGGGAAAGATATCCAACTGGCCACATGAAGTTTCTGCTCTAAGATTTGGAAGTCATCTCCATTCCTCTACCCATCAGAAGAAGTCTGGTTGATAATGTGCATAATATTAAATTTCACAAATCAAAAAGTATCATTAGCATAGCTATATAAAGAAGCCCTTTTATATAAGTCTAAATTCTTATACCTCTTTGGAAAACAACCTGAATTGAAACTAAATAGACGATATGTATAGTTTTTAAATGTTTTCCATTCACAAAAAAGGTAAGTGTATATGTGACCTTCTAATTCATATTCTCCTAAGTTTCTATTTTCTCATTTACTAAGGGCAAGCCAGAACATGTAGTGAAACTGCAGACCTCTTTGTTCTTTATTTAATTTAAGGGTCAGTCCAATTAAAGTAGGATGCGGTGAGGAATTGACAAGAAATACTGGTCTCATAAAACTTGATTCTCTATCTTCAGATATACATTATAAAAGCCATTGTCTAAACAAGCTTCAGATTAAATTAACATGTGCATTTTCTTCTATTGCATAATATGAAACAACAAACTAGTCAACAGAGTTGAAATTTTGTAACTTTAGTAAAAGACCACACACTGTCTCAAACACCCAAGCATAGTTATTATCTTTAGAATCTTCCCTATTAACAGAGACAAACTGAAGAAATAATAGATCTAGAAATAAAATTTACCTGGGCAGATGTAAACTCTAAGTAAAAGGTATATTCTTCTGACACGTCAAAGAAACTCTTAGTGTTTCATCTTCTATGATGTTTGTGTAGGACATGTTGACTTATTTTAACTCTTAAAAATAAGTTTATATTAAGCCTCAGAAGAAAACAGTCAACACTCATTTGAATAAAAAAATTACTTTGATTCAGTTTCTCTCCCCAAAGCCAGATGTTTTGCAAGCCAGAAGATGGGAGAACTGAATTGGGTTAGAAGTCACTTGGTTAAATCTTATGTTTGGATTGGCCAGCCATCATAGATGTGTATCTTTACAAAACCAAATGAAGTTCTTGAACTAACATGTTTAATAGACAAAACATTCTGGGTTTGTACAATCAAATTCATCCCTTAACAAGAATTAAAATAGAGGCACAATAGAATCACAGTTGTAATGCCAACCTTTTGTGACAAAGCTGGGTTTTCTCCTGCCTAAACTACATTAAAATTTAGAATTGACAAATTGGCAACAAGAAACAATTAATAAGTATGTCTTTGATCTATACATTTAAAGCAAATTTTTCTTAACCAAACACCATTAACCACTATTTGTCAGTCTTCAACTTACATCAGAAAAAAGGAAAACAAAAATTTTTGTTCCCTAATGAGTATTATTTGGTCAAGATGTGTTCTTAAAGCAACTGATTTAAGTTTCTTTAAGAAGAAACTTCTGTTCAAAGGTTATTATTTGAACCTGTGAAAATAATGCAAGAGAAAAATCCGTAAGATTTTTCTCTTACAGAAATCGAGTTCATTTAATACTCACAACAACTGTATTGATGAAACATACAGTGTCTGCTGAAGAGACTGAAGAACTCTGTGTACCTATGACCAAATCACCCCAAAAGTTCCTCTTGTACAGAATATGAAGTGCAAGAGGACAGATCCATGATGTGAGCTGCAGGTGAAGGTTTAGAGAAATAATCTCATTATTGTCTTGGCTACAAAAAAAGAAAAACAAAGCCTTTGGGCTAATGCAGGGTTTGAATAATAGGATGTTCGATGAAACAGGGCACTGGGGACAACTCAGAGGAATGGAATGGGGAGGGAGCTGGGAGGGGGGTTTGGATGGGGGACACATGTACACCCGCGACTGATTCATGTCAATGTATGGCAAAAACCACCACAATATGGTAAAGTAATTAGCTCCAATTGAAAAAAAATAATTAATTTTAAAAAATGAAAAAAAAATAGGAAGTGGGGAGGAGATAAGGCTAACGAACCATGAGCAGGAAGAGTGGGGAGAGGAATAACCTGTGAACAGGAATCACCAGACTCACCCTCAGCTCTAGGGGCAACAGAAGGGTTAACACAGAGCTTCCCCACAAGACTCTCTGGGATTCTTTCCCTTGACTTTTTCCTTTCCCTTTTCTTTTTATTTTCCCTCTTTCAGCTAGTTTTGCATTATTATCAGCATACAGAAAAGCCTATTAGTTACAAAACTAAGCAATGGTCCATATTCAGAGAATGAAGAGAAATATAAAACCAGACCAAATTAAAACAAGGGCGATGCGGAGAAAAGGGAACCCTCAAGCACTGTTGGTGGGAATGCAAACTGGTGTAGCCACCATGGAAAATATAGTGTGGGGGTCCTCAAGATATTAAAATAGAGCTACCTTACAGTTCAGCAATACCACCTCTGGACATGTATGCAAAGAAAATGAAATCATTATCTTGAAATATCTGTACATGTTTACAGCAGCATTATTCACACTAGCCAAAGTATGGAAACAACCTACGTCTGCTGACAGATGAACGGATGAGGAGAATGTGCAACAGAGACTTCCCTGGTAGTCCAGTGGTGAAAACTCCATGCTACCAATGCAGAGGGTGCAGGTTCAATCCCTGGTGGGGGAACTAAAATTTCACATGCCACATGACATGGCCAAAGGATAAAAAGATGAAAAAATAGAAAATATGGAATACTGTCTGCCAATATAGGTGCACTGGGAAGACCCAGAGGGATGGGATGGGGAGGGAGGCGGGAGAGGGAATCGGGATGGGGAACACATGTAAATCCATGGCTGATTCATGTCAATGTATGGCAAAAACCACTA